TTGCTCGATTGTTGATACATCGGGGGCCTTTGAAAACCCGACCACTATCTTCTTGCACATAATTCTCCACTCTATTTTGCACTTGTAGACCTTTGGTCCTCCTCATGTTCACCATCATGTTCACTCCCTCCATGGCATTGACTTTCTTGGGATTTTGCACTTGATTTAGTTGGGCCTTTGCTAGTTGTGCCATGGTGGTTGTCAATTCGGCAATGGCTTGCCCATGGTCTTGCAATTTTTTATGAAAGTGGATAATGTTTAGATCACCTTGTGGAACATTGGCCCAGGATTGCCAAGCCGATGACTTTTCCTCCATCTCATCCAAAATCTCACATGCCTCCGCATAACGCGTAGTCATGAAGTTCCCACCGGCAAGTTGATTCACTACACATTGGTTGGTTGTGTTAATCCCACGATAGAAAGTTTGTTGAATCATGTTTTCCGTTATATTGTTGTTGGGACATTCCTTAACCATTGTTCTATAGCGTTCCCATATCTCGTGTAGTGGTTCATTTGGCTCTTGCTTGAATGCCAAAATTTCATCTCGAAGTGTAGCAATGTACCCCGAAGAGAAGAACTTAGAAATGAATTTTTCCACCAACTCATCCCAAGTGTGAATGGAATGGTTCGACAATCGTTCCAACCAATCTAAAGCTTTCCCGGTAGAGAGAAGGGGAAAAGCCTTAGACTCATTGCATCCTCGGAGGCTTTTGTTTATTTTCTCCCCCAACAAGTTTCCACAAACCCCTTCAAATGTTTGTATGCATTTTGAGTTGGAGCACCGGTGAAGAAACCCCGTTGCTCAAGCAAAGTGAGCATCATATTGGTGATTTTGAAGTTGACCGCCTTAATACAGGGAGGGATTATTGCACTTGCATATACTTTGTTGGGTAATATCCGGTGTGGATCTACTCGTGGTGGAGATGGGGGTGGAGCGGGGATATTTCCAAGTGGCACTCGGCCACTTCAATTGTCTTGAGGTTCAAGAGAAACCTCCTCAACTTGCGCATTCTCGACGTCCACATCCTCTAAAGGCAAATTTCCGAGCTCATTGTTCGCCACGGTTGTACCTATAATTTCTCATACGAGTTAGTAACACGGAAGGAAAAAACGATATTCCAAAAATAAACCCAAATATATAGCTAACACTGTTTTAACTCCCCGGCAACGGCGCCAAAAATTGATGGCGTCCACAACACACCTCAATAAGAGATATGATACGGTCGTATGCAATAATAATTACCCAACTATGAGTCGGGGTCGAATCCACTGAGAGTTATAAGGAGTGTCAGGAGTATATATTTGAAGCAAGAGAATGGACTACCTAGAGTTGCACTTCCATAACGGAGTTTTGATTTCTACTTCTACTATTACTCTAATAATTACAAGCTAAGGTAGATGGACTAGAGATTAATGTTTTTGATGTTTTTCCAAATAGTTTAAAGGCCTATGGATGTGACCATAACCTAGGTGTTTTCCTAATGGGATAAAGACGTTAACACTTATTTTGTTGATTGGGGTGTATTATAGCTCTCAACTTTACGTTACCCACTCAATACCTCTCGATCAAAGAGTGATTTTGCCCAATTTGGCTTTCTCAAGACCAAATGGTTATCAAGCAAAATAGTTCATATGAGCTCAAGTAGGGTTCTTACTATCTCTAGTTTGAACCCTTTAATTAGCCTAATCAATCTCTCAATTAACCCAATTCCTTGTTAGCCAAGTTATCCTAGACTAGGTCCCTCTTTCTCAAGTAGAGACTAAGTCAAATAGGTATGAATCAATGTTTGAAACCATTAATTCTAAACTTGAAGCATGAACTAGGCTAAATAATCAACACCCAATCATAAACAAACATTAAATTAATTACCAAACGGTTTACACATTAGGGTTGGGTCACAACCCTAGTAAATATCTAGCTACTCATAATGGGAATTAAAGAAAATAGAAAATAAAATATAATTAAACTCATAATGAAAGAGTAAAATGATGAAATCTAGTGTTTAAATACTAAAATAATGTAAAACTTCCTAAAGTAGTAAAAAGAAATGCTACAATAACTTTTAATGTTGAAACGTGACTTAAATTTGTGAAACTCGTCTATTTATACTGGACCAAAAATAGTAGACAAAAATGCCCCTAGAGAGGTTCTGCGGCCGCACAATTCCATGTGCGGTCCGCATATTTCTTCAGTTGGCAGGAAGGAGGATTCTGTGACCGCACATTTCTAGAATGCGGCAACGAGGCAACTTCTGCGGCCGCACAATTCTTGTGCGGTCCACATTTCTGCAAAGTGTAAGGACTTGGTCATCTGCATATTCTCTAAACTTGAAAATACTTGTCAGTGCAGACCCTGTTTTGCGGCCGCACATTTGTCAATCTTATGTTAGACTCTTTAGCTTGGATTGCGGCCACAGAAGGAATTCTGCGGTCCATAATTTCTTCTGCGGACCGCACATCTTTGCTTCTAGGCCATTTATTACCTTGTGCTTCGGAACGCTCCTTTTTGAGTCGAATTTCATAATGGGAGACCAAACTTCCACCATTCCTGCAATTTGCACAATTTCATTAATTTTGGGAACACAATTCAATACTTTCGGACTAAAACAAAAGCAAAAAGGTGTTATTAAGCAGTCAAATTCCCACTTATCATAAGTGCAGGGTTTTATTGGCCCCGAATGGAACAAGACGCCAAAGAGTTCGTGCAAAAATGCGATAAGTGCCAATGCTATACAACACTGGTACATCAACCAGCAGAACCATTACATTCAGTTCTATCTCCGTAGTCATTCATTAAATGGGGAATGGATATCGCCGGACCATTGTCGTCGGCCCCTGGTAAGGTAAGGTTTCTTTTAATTTTAATTGACTATTTTTCTAAGTGGGTTGAAGCAAGTCCTTATCAGAAGATCGACGAACGTGAAGTGGTGGATTTATTTTGGGAGAACATAATTTGCAGATTTGGAATACCAAAAGATATAGCATGCGATAACGGGCCACAATTTATAGGCGCAAAAATCACAAAGTTCCTTGAAGATTTGAAAATCAAGAGAATCACATCTTCAACCTATCATCCGAGCGCAAATGGTCAAGCGAAATCAACAAACAAAGTGATTATACAAAATCTCAAGAAGAGGTTATAAGCGGCTGAATGTAAATGGCCTGAGGAGTTGCTTGGAATGCTATGGGCGTACCGAATAATGACCAAATCGAGCACAAGAGAAACTCCCTTTTCCCTTGTGTACGGAGCATAAGCCTTAATCCAGTGGTAGTAAGAAAGCCTACCTTGAGATATTTCCAGGAAAGCGAAAAGACGAACAACAAAGCGATGTTGGTCAACTTAGAGCTACTCGATGAGCACGGGGACTTGGCACATATAAGAATGGCAGCCTAGAAGCAAAGAATAGAAAGATATTATAATCGAAGAGCCAACTTCCGTTATTTTAAAGTGGGAGACTTGGTTCTAAGGAAAGTAACTCAAAACACTCGGAAACTCAACGTAGGGAAGCTAGGTCTAACTTGGGAAGGCCCCTACTAGGTTTTAGCTGTCATCGGGAAAGGTTCATACGAATTGGAGAATCAGGATGGAGAAAAGTTGCCAAGCAACTGGAATGTGGCACACCTCAAGAGATATTATTGCTGGCAAACATCACTTGTTCTGAAAGTATGTGCTGCACTCTTTTTCCTTTCATCCACTTTTTGTCCCAATTGGATTTTTTCTGGCAAGGTTCTTAACAAGGCAGCAACGAAAAGTATACTATAAAGAAAGTTTCAACAGCAGCAATAAGACCTTTTATAGCAAGGCACACAAGCGAAGAACCACTCCAGAGTGGCCAGATAACCTTTCACTCTAGAGCAAAATTCCCACTGGGAAAATGAGTTTTCTATCCAGCAAAGGTTACCCGACCGTTCACAAGTGCAAACCATTAGAGGATTGTTAGATAGTCTTTTCGCTCGATAGCAAATATTCCTAAGGGGAAATGAAGTTTGTTACTGAAGATTGTCTAGCAATTCATTAGTGGGGTCCTCGAAGGTTCAAAACTTTCAGTGTTCCAATTCGCATTCTTCGCATTTGAACACTCGGCAACAATGACTGCCACATTGACCGAAATGCAAAAACCGGGAATATAGTTGTATCATCGGGACCAGGGATTGCGCGGCCAGGCCCATAGAAATAAGTTGTACAAGTTAGCCACAATAAATGGCAATTTCATTTTAGCATAACAAATGCTTATGTACTTTTTGAAAAAGGAAGGAATAAAGTAAAGTTCTTATTTTTCTACTTGTTTCTTGTCTAACCGATGAATTGATTTTATCATTTGAAAGTTAAACAAGTACTTTAAATGGTAGTGCTGTAATGAACAGGATACGTCCTCTTCAAGAGCACCGTAAACATAAGTGGGCCCTCTCTTATAAAAACCCTCACGATAAAGGGTTGATTTCGGAAGAACTTGTGCCCGAAATCGAAATGCTTTCGGGAGAAAAATACACCCAATGCCTTACATAATAAGACATAATAAATGTTCATAACTAAATAAAGACTCATGCAATACACTATGGACTTCAACCCATTTGGCCTTGGCTTCGTCAAATTTAACCCTCAGCGGGCCAATCTCTTGGCTAAGGGTTACAACCTTTAACGAGTCTCCAATACAACGGCCTCAACAACTTTGGCTTCCAATTTTGAGAGGCGAGCAGTAGTTTGCTCCCGCTCGGCCAAAGGTTGATCCCGTAAGAAGGTTAGTTCCACTTATGATACCATAAACATAAGTGGGCCCTCTCTTAAAACTTGCATAAATATTCAAACGAAATAACGACTCATGCAATACTTGAGCAAAAGATGTCTTTATTCACAATAAACATGCCAAAGCGGCGCAAATACAAAAGTTGGAAAAAGAAAGGAAAAGCTAAATTGCTGCATCTCTGGAACCCAGAGGAAAAGAAGTGTCTGTGCCCCCAGGGGTAGTGGGTAGATCCGTCAATGGCTAAACATCTTGTCCCTAATCAGTTTGGCCTTTAACATCTTCGCCTTCCATTTTCTCTACAATTCCCAAAATTTCAGAACCGGAACCTGAAGAACCGGAAGCATCAGGCCCTGGCGGGAGACCCATTTTAGTAGCTGACTTAAGCTCACGGGCCTTAGCAATTTCCACATCAAAGTCAATGATACTCGCTTTAGCCTCTTTCAAGGGTTTTCTCCTCGTGATGTACATAACATAATTTTTCTCAACAACGAGGAAAACCTCTCGGCGCTTAAGTTCTTGTTTGAGTTGGGTAACCTCGGCAGAAAGGTTTTCCTGGGCGGATCTAATGGACTTGAGGCTAACATTGAGCTCGTGGACAGTTGAGCTAAAAAGCCTATTATGCTCAATAGTCTTCTTATACTTCTCCTCCAACTGGGCATGTTTCACCCCCGTGGCAGCAAGCTCTTCAGTTTTGGAGTTCAAGGCTGCCTCTAAGTTGGTCAATCTTTCAGTAGAGGCAGCCTCGCGATTGGTTGCAGCAAGAACGACACTATGGACTTCAACCCATTTGGCCTTGGCTTCATTAAATTTAACCCTCAGCGGGCCAATATCTTGGCTAAGGGTTACCACTTCTTGCTCTCTTTGCTACAAACGAGTCTCCAATACAATAGCCTCAACAACTTTAGCTTCCAATTTTGAGAGGCGAGCAGTAGTTTGCTCCCGCTCGGCCAAAAGTTGATCCCGTGCGAAGGTAAGTTCTTCTTTTCCCCGAATCAACCTTTGGAGGCCCTCGGAAGCAAGAAAATTGGCCTACAAAACAAGAAGGGCAAACTCATGATATTTTCAAGCAAAATATAAGAAATAACAAAAGAAGTGAAGAATGTACCGTTGCGGCATTATGCATGGCATTGTTCAACAAGCACTCTCCCGAGAGAGTCTCTATCGTTTTCCAATCTTTTTCTAAGGCTTCAGATTGTTAGCAAGTTCCACTGACCAGGATAGCAAACTACATCCGGTAGAGACCGAGAGAGTAACACTCCTCCACCTTTGTGGATTTTCTTAAGGGGGAGCTTAATTTTGCCCCAAATTCCCATGAACTGGGGACTGGGGAAGAAGAACACCCTCTTCTAGGGCAGATGCGACCAGTGGATATGATGTAGTAGTTGCTGGTGGAAGAGTTAATGAAGGTGGAGAAGATGGAGCAATTGCTGGTGTTGGTGAATATGAAGATAAAGATGATGGTGGTGAAAGGTGAGAAGCAGTTGCGACAAACGCAGTGCTGGTTTTTGGTTCCTCATCAACCGAAGATGGAAGAGACCCAGTATTCAGCCCCAAAATATCAGGAACATCGAATAGGATCCAGAAGCGGGAGTTGGCATTTTCCACAATTTCTGTTATACCCCATATTTTCGTACGCGAAAGTACGCCATAAGTAAATTGATGGAAGCTCGGAAATGAGATGTTACATCCCGCATTTTCGTATGTTGAAGTTTTGTCGTAAGTTAATCGACGTAAGCTCGGGAATGAGATTATTTTGGGATTATAAGTATTACGCTATTTCAAACAAAGGATAAGTAAATTCGTGAAGGTGAGAGGGTAAGCAAATCGAAGAAAATGAATTTTCGTCGAAGTTTGACATTCTGGGATAAAATACGGCCTGAGCTAAAATACCCGGTATTTATGGACTAGTGCCATACAAGGTACCACATGACCATAATAGTAAGTTATACATAGTGTGTTAAAAGTGAGTAGTATTTTAAGTAATTTGAGAAAATTCTTAATTATGTGGGTAATTGGTTAATTATTAATTTAATGGAAGATTAACAATGTAATTAGGGATTCGTGGATAATTAGTAGGCGGGGACAAAGACCCAACGCGGCAGCAAACCTACACCCATGAGTGTGACTCTAAATCCATTATAAGGTGGCATTAAGAGAGTTCTTTGTGGCTTAGTCATTATACACGTGGGTCCCACAACCCCACAAGAATAAGAAGTCTTCTTAGCTTTTACGAGATGGTGTTATCTTGTAATGATGAAAGTCTCTCTTTAATTCACAAATTGAAGATGCTTACATCTTCTAAAATAACGGATGAGCTTCAGCAAATTCATACAAGATACGATTATGCGTAAGATGCAATTCTAAGGAAGTACGGTACAATCTTTCTCAAGAATATTATACGAATTTTTCCTTACTTCGATCCTCCGTTACGTGTTTTCGCAAAAGACGTGTGTTAGAGGGATTGCCAAGAGAATCGGCTCAGGTATGTTAAGACTAAGGCCTTCCTTCATTTTGGCATGATCTCATAATTACATGTGTTTGATAACATGGCGTAAAGAGAAGTTCATACTCCCGAAATTATATACATTATCCTAGTCTCATAAATTACAGTATTCTCCTTATCGGGACTTCATATTTAATTGAGTATTTTCTTCTTCCAGTCAAGAGAGAAGAGAGCCTATATATACAATATTACAGTATTTTCATTACCATCAAGCTATAATCGATGGGCAGGCTCCTATTGGGCAACCTCTGATTAGATGGTAAGTTATATACTGAGCCGACTGTGGCCAAGCGCCTATGAGCGAGCCTAGTTGGCCGAGATACAGAGCCTAGTATGGCCGAACGCCTATAAGAGAGCCTACTACGGCAGAGCAGTGATATATATACCGAGCCTTATAGGGCCGAACAACTATTTTACTTACTATATTGAGAGAGTTGAGTCAGTATCAGCAGGTAAGAATATCTTCAGACTACTTTTGACTCCCAGTTACTTTCAGTTATTATATTATCAGTTCAGTTTCAGCTTTCAGTATATTGCCTTACATACTCGGTAAATTATTTGTACTGAAGTCCCTTTTTCCCGGGGACGCTGCGTTTCATGCCCACAAGTCTCGATAGATAGGTCGATAGTCCTCTAAGTAGGCGATCAGCTCAGCGAAAGATGTTGGTGCACTCCATTTGCTCCCGAGTTGCTTGTTTGGTCAATATGATTTAGATGTGTATTGTTTGGTATGGCAGGGCTCTGTCCCTACCTTTATGACAATTTTGTATTTTTAGAGGCTTGTAGACAGATGTCATGTACTTAAAAGATTTTATGGCCTTGTCGGCCTATGTTTAGTGTACGAGTGGTTATTTTTCCTTATAAGCCCATATGTCTTATGTATAAGTTGGTATTACATGTTGTATTCTACCTATCTCAGGGCAGCCTCTACGACTCAGTTATCTATGATAGTATGATAAGAAAAGATACATTATGTTGGTACTCGGTTGAGTAAGGTACCGGGTGCCAGTCGCGGCCCATCGGTTTGGGTTGTGACAAAAGTGGTATCAAAGCAGTTATGTCCTAGGGAGTCTAAAAGCCGTGTCTAGTAGAGTCTTTTTAGGACTGTCACTCTTTCTTCTTACTCTAGATCGTGTGGTAGAGCTCAGTTGTAGGAACTCAATTTCCTAAACTCTATCTTATTCATAATACGATGATGCCTACATCTAGAAAGATGGTTGGTAAGAGATTGCATGTGATTGTGAAAGAGTTGAGTCAGAGGAACTCGATTTTGGATGATGCATATGATGGATAAATGTAAGGTCTTCAGTAGATCATGTGTGTACTAAGACGTGTAAGCCTTTTGATAAGGAGCCTTAAGGCAGGAATATCTATCCACCCCTATGGTGAAAGGCAATGAGAGATTCAGAAGATAGATACAAGTTTTAACAAGTAAAAGAATCAAGATGAAGAAGGGTACGAGGCGCCCAACTAATGAAGATTATTAGTATTTACAATTCAGGCAGAGGAATATAAGCCTTTTGAGTTACCTTCAATAATAACAGAGGTATGTATAATTGGCCACACCCATCTCAGTTATACCCTGTTGAGGGCTAACATGTGTAGTTTAAGAAAAGGACGGGATATCAGGATCCAACTGGGGTTAGAGTAATCCAAAATGGTGAATGGATTGTTTGTGTTGGTTGACATTTTCGAAGGACATTATAAAGGTGCTAATAGATCTCCTTGTGAGGCACCCAGATGGTGCACTATAGAATATTACAATTAGATGTGAATACTAGCATGATCAAAAAAAAGAAATTCAGAAGATAGGCACGGAAAGCCTAGAAGGGATAAATATTATCTAGTGTGGCTCCCACCGGATTGTATATGCACCAGAGGTGCAAGTATTATAATAGAGCTTCAAGTCGAGGATGTGAATTATACCTATGTGGAAGGGAGGTCATAAAAGAGATAGAATATGTAAGGCAAGATTTTAAGGTAAGTAAGGTAAAGGTGAACAACGTACGAGATACTCAAATGCAGAAGGTTGTGAATAGTCCACACTTTAGATAGAAGACCAGAAGGGCTGAGACATAGTATCCAGGAATGATAACGGCATGGTGAGTGGCATATTTTTCGGCCTATGGTTTCTATATATCGAAAGGTCTAGTTAAAAGAGTAAAGAAGAGTTAGAGACAATGTAATGTCTCGCTTGATGTTCCAGAATAACACGAGGATATCTATGGTGCAAGCAAGTTGAAGGAAGGTTGCGAGTAGTATAAATAGATATGTGAAGGCCACAAGCTAAAGTATGGTAAAGCGACAAGGTTTCAGGAAGGCAGGAGTAAGGATAAGAAAGGGCGAGTGAGAAGGTGACGAGAATGGATAAGTCCTCAGGATTAAGCCCATGAAAACAAGAGAGCTAATGGTTTCTTTAAGTTATAGAAAGCTCGGTATAGCCTGAGTAAATTCAAAGGAGTCTAAGACTAGTAGTATTTAGAAAAGATGTAATACTACCCTAGTAGTAGATAAGGGTGTAATTGTGATAAATGAAAGATGACGTTTGGGCCTTCGATTGAGTAATGATTTCATGAATTGTATAGGATTAAAATACTCACGTGAGGAAAATCACATTGGGATGCTATGAAATATGGTTATGAAAGTATAGTATCGCCCCCAGGTGGATCAGGAAAATCAGTTCAAATGTTTCACGATGAAGCGTAAGCCCTAGTGGCAATATATTACGTAAGAAGTTTCGAGTTATCAATGGAAGATTGTAGATCAACATTGAGGTAAATCAACAATGGATGGCTAAAAGCTGTAAAGTACGAGATTAGATTAGGCCATCAGTCTTAAGATGAATAGTAATGGAGAAGCATTAAAAGACTTAGCTTTATGCATATAGGATAAGCAACGAGAGTAACCTGGAGTTTGGTAGCAGACCTTAGTAACGATAAATTGATGTAAGAATTATGGTATAGTATGGCCTACTTAGATGAAGTAAAGCAAATGATGCCCAGAGGGACAGGTTGACATAGTTTTATATATGAACACAAAGTGAAGCCTAAAGATTGGCTAAAATCTGGAGCAAAAGAAAAGGAGAGAAGAGTCGCATAGGCGCACTTACAGAGTCAGAGTCGTACATGATGCATGATAAAAGGTAGAAATAATTATAAGATTGGGAGGATTCCGACCACGAGTCGTGGTGTGAGAAAGAGAACAAAAAGGGGGGAATGCCCTGGCCTTTGGGATTCATTCATAGCACAGTTGTCTAGATGGCAAGAGGAGTACTAAAGTATTCGAAAGCGCGATAGGTTATGATAATGATAAGTGCATCAGTCAACATTCGAGGATGAATTTTCCGAAGGGGGGAATGATGTTACACCCCATATTTTCGTACATGAAAGTACACCATAAGTAAATTGATGGAAGATCGGAAATGAGATGTTATATCCCGTATTTTCGTATGTTGAAGTTTCGTCGTAAGTTAATCGACGTAAGCTCGGGAATGAGATTATTTTGGGATTATAAGTATTACGATATTTCAAACAAGGGATAAGTAAAAAGGTGAGAAGGTAATAAAATTGAAGAAAATGAATTTTCGTCGAAGTTTGACAGTTTGGGATAAATACTCGGTATTTATGGACTAGTACTATACAAGGTACCATATGACCATAATAGTAAGGTGTACATAGTGTGTTAAAAGTGAGTAGTATTTTAAGTAATTTGAGACAATTCTTAATTATATAAAAAATTAGTTAATTATTAGTTTAATGGGAGATTAACCATGTAATTAGGGATTTGTGGATAATTAGTATGTGGGGACAAAGCCCCAACGTGACAGCAAACCTACACCCATAAGCCTGACTCCTAAATCCATTATACGATGGCATTAAGAGAGTTCTTTGTGGCTTAGTCATTATACACGTGGGTCCCACAAACCCACGAGAATAAGAAGTCTTCTTACTTTATTACGAGATGGTGTTATGTTGTAATGATGAAAGTCTCTCTTTAATTCACAAATTGAAGATGTTTACATCTTCTAAAATAATGGATGAGCTTCAGCAAATTCATACAAGATACAATTATGCGTAAGATGCAATTCTAATGGAGTATGGTGCAATCTTTATTAAGAATATTATACGGATTTTTCCCTTTTTCGATCCTTCGTTACGTGTTTTCGCAAAAGATGTGTGTTAGAGGGATTTTCAAGATAATCGGCTCAGGTATGTTAAGGCTAAGCCCTTCCTTCATTTTTGCATGATCTCGTAATTACATGTGTTTGATAACGTGGCATAAAAGGAAGTTCATACTCCCGAATTTATATATATTATCCTAGTCTCATAAATTACAGTATTCTCCTTATCGGGACTTCATATTTAATTGAGTATTATCTTCTTTCAGTCAAGAGAGCAGAGAGCCTATATATACAGTATTACAGTATTTTCATTACCATCGAGTTATAATCGATGGGCAGGCCCCTATTGGGCAACCTATGATCAGATGGTAAGTTATACACCGAATCTATTGTGGCCGAGCGCCTATGAGCGAGCCCAGTTGGCTGAGATACAGAGCCTAGTATGGCCGAGCGCCTATGAGCGAGCCTACTTTGGCAGAGTAGTGGTATATATACTGAGCCTTAAAGGGCCGAACAACTATTTTACTTACTATATTGAGAGACTTGAGTCAGTATCAGCAGGTAAGCATATCTTCAGACTATCTTTGACTCCCAGTTACTTTCAGTTATTATATTATCAGTTCAGTTTCAGCTTTCAGTATATTGCCTTACATACTCGTATATTATTTGTACTGACATCCCTTTTTCTTGGGGACACTGCGTTTCATTCCTGCATGTCTCGATAGACAGGTCGAGAGTCCTCCAAGTAGGCGATCAGCTCAGCGGTAGATGTCAGTACACTCCATTTGCTCCGGAGTTGCTTGTTTGGTCAATATGATTTAGATGTGTATTGTTTGGTATGACGGGGCTTTGTCCCTACCTTTATGACAATTATGTATTCTTAGAGGATTGTAGACAGATGTCATGTACGTAAAAGATTATATGGCCTTGTCGGCCTATGTGCTGTGTACGAGTACTTATTTTGGTCTTATAGGCCCATATGTCTTATGTATAAGTTGGTATTACATGTTGTATTCTACCTGTCTCATGGAAGCCTCTACAGCTCAGTTATCTATGATAGTGTGATACGAAAAGATATGTTATGTTGGTACTCGGTTGAGTAAGGTACCGGGTGCCCATCGCGGCCCATCGGTTTGGGTCTTGACAATTTCATACTCCCCCCAGAGTGCCGAGACATCATCCTCGGTTGGTGTAATTAACTCAACATATTGAGAAGTCTGTTGAGTTGAGGAAGGTCGTCGTCTTCTATGTAGAGAAGCTTCCTCCTCGCTAGCTTCTCCATCATCGTCAATCATCAAGGTATCTGTGGCCGCACCGGGCAGAAGGCTCGTCACCATGACTTCCGAAGATGACTTGGGGGAAGCATTCCCCCGATCGCGGAGGAACGCCTTCTTTTTGGGTGCTTGTTCTCTGGCCGGGGGACTCCGAGAAGAAGCACTTGCACCAGAAATAGGCCCGGAGATGCCTGTCTGTGAAAAAACTTTCTACGACAGCCTCGCCGCACCTACAGGATCAACCAAAATGTCCTTCTCGGGGATGACAACTGAGCCCTGGGGTATACCTATATACAATAGGAGAGAAGAATCATATAACTTTCTCATAAGAAAAGGTAAGGACATGATGAGTTAAACTTACCATGATTTTTGGCCTTCCACCCATATTTCAGGGAGAGCACATTCCACGAGCAGGTTTTGGGTGTAGTAACGTCCAAAATATTTTGAACCCATTGGTCCAAGCGCTCCCCTAGGGGGAATCCACCGAGTCACTAAGGCAGGTAAAAGAAGAAAAGTTAATAATGACGAGAAAAAGGATCTTTAAAAAGAGTAGAAGCAAATTGTATACTTACGAGTGCGGTTTCACAATTTCGGGAAGGAAGATGCCGAGGCCGAGATGATGTCACTGGTGGCAATTGAGACAAATCGTTCCATCCACTCATGATCGTTATCATCATCCATGATGGATATCAATGTATGGTGGCCTCGCTTGCTAAAGTTGATCATCCTCCAACGGAAGATCTTGGGGGAATAAAGGTTCATCACATGAGCTAAAGACAGCTCCTCCCCCGTCTCCTAGCACATACGCCGACGGTAAGCAATCGTCCTCCATACGGAAGGACTCACCTATGCCAAGCACATGATAGCAAAGGCAAAACTCCTCAATGACGGAGTCAAGCTCTCCACTCAAAGAAAATATCCCCAAAGTAAAGGGATACGTATAGAAGTACGTAAAACCCTTCTTGGGTAAGGTTACCCTCTTCGCCAGGTCAGGAGCGATAATGTCTGAATCCTGGCGATGACAATCTTCTTTCACAGCAGGAATGCTAGAAGGATGGATGGAAGAAGGATATCTGCTAACAGCCCATATGCGAGGGCTAACACAAGGAAATTTTACTTCGAAGTCTTCTATTGTAACAAGACTTCTAGGGATGATGGTGCTCACTATTGGAGGAGCGACGTCCTCGGCTTTGTTTTTGTTCTTTGAGGAATTGGTATTTTTTGAAGAAGAAACCATTGTACGGTATGGAAGAAGGAAAAGCTTTTCTCGTTTGAAGAGAGATAAAGAAAGGTTGAAGAACAGAGTACAAGTTGAATGAAGAGAGTTTGAGAGAGTTTGGAGAATTATGGAGTATGAATGAAGGAGGTTGATGCGTATAAGTAAAGGTTAAGGAGGCTAAATTTGTGTCCATGATTACCTCGATAACCGGCAAAAATTATGCTGAATCGTGGGATGACGCGTGTTCGGGGCATTAAATGCGGAGAGAAGTGTGTCTAATCAACTGTCAGAAGCTTTTCAGAAGAGATTAGAGTAATTCCCGCCAAAAAGAATGTTTCTACCAACTTCCCGGCGACACAAAGTTATGCTACCAGAAAGCAGGGGGACTATCTGTATAGGGTAAAATAAGAGAGTGACACGTGGAGTCGAAGGTGGAGGATAGTTAAAATCGAAGACAACTATTCCATTTGCCACCGGAAAAATGACGCTCATAAAGATGCAATAAATACCTGCCTCCGGTAGCATTTAACGGAGAATATTCCACAACATTTAGTACACTGCCCGTTACAAAGAGTTTGTCATTTGTGCTCACCGTTACATATTTTTCAATGGCCCTCATGATTGACATTAAAGAAGGGCATGATCCTAGGACTTTGTTCCCTAGGTGCAGCTATAAATATTGAACTATGTTATCATTGTAAAGGACACAAATTTTCTGTCAAATTTATGCTATAATCCATTCAAAATTTTATACAATTTTATCTTCTTATTCCTTGATTTCATTATTGTTGTGCCCGAAAGTCCTACTCCCGGAATTACTGTTTCTGCTACTTTGTCTTCATTTCAAGGCTAAGATTTGCATATTTCTTCAATTATTTATTATTTCAGAATCGAATTAATTTACTTGTCTAGAAATCACGTATAAATACAACTGTACCATTTTACGGGTAAACAATATGAAAAAATTCCTTTATTTATAAATCTATATAAGTGATGTGTGTTTGATTCCTTTTTCTAGTTCCTTATTCATAATTGTAGTATTTCCTTTCCAAGTTTTATTCCCTTTTTTGTTGGTATTTTATCATCATTTAGCTGAAAAGCTAATTTACTGTCAACTCAAGCCAACAAGTTCTAGGAATTTCAGTTAAGATTTAACAGAAATGCGAGTTAATCAATACAGTACAAAAAGGAAAACAAATACAACCAACTTTTATAAATATTAAAGATACATAGATTATGATATGGAAAAGTCATAGTTCTAATTTGGTGTTGGGCTTCGATATTTTTCTCCTTAAGTTGTTTTCAATCAGATTAGTTCCTAGTTATAAGCACTAAAATTTGGTGAGTATTAATACTACAAGTCTTCTACTTTACTGAGTAAATTCCAAAAATTAATTTGAGCCTACCGACAAAATCCAAATCTGAAGCCGAGCCAAGCTGAGCCGAGAAAGCGACGACAACGGCGCAAGACTTGCCTTCTTCTTAACTCTTTAAGAGGTAGAAGAAGTATAATTATATATATACTCAACAAATGAGCTCTCCTCCTTTAATATGAGACAATATTCCTTTGCAAAGAAGTGAAATTCAAAATATTTATTTTTCCCCATTTTATATTCACTCTCTTTTTGAACTAAAAACCCAACAATTCCCACTTGCTACAGAACCAAAAAGAAAAGAAAAACAACTGATCTGAACTTTAGTTAAACACTGCAACATAAAACTTCTTTTTGCTGGTGTTAACAGTATTAGCAACATTAACAATTCTTGCTTGTGTTTTTGCACATTAATTTGGTGAATTAACTGTTGCTTGAAAGGACCTACATAGAAGCGTGTGGTTTTTTGTTTTTACTAAAGCAAACTTCTCACTTTACGTATTGCAATGGAAACTAGTCAATATAAAAACTCTTCGGCTGTTATACACTCAACTCATGTAGTTGGTTACGTATTAATTAGGCTTAGAAGTAATTTGTAGTCACTACATTCACCTAAAATAAAATCAACGTAATTAATATAGTTCCTGCTCTGATAGCTTCAAGCGTAATTCAAGTAAAGATGTCTACAATAATAACAAACTCAGTGGATTCCACAAGTAGGATTTAGGAAGGGTAATGTGTACGCAAACCTTATTCTTACCTTGTGCAAGTAGAGGAGACGTTGTCAATAAACCCCGGCTAAGCAGGATCGCAACAATAAAGCAAAAACAATAAAGAAATGAAAAAAAGTCATAAAAAAAGCAATAACAACAATAAGATATTAACAAAATCGAAGCAGAAGCAACATCACATAGTGATGGACAACCAAAAATAAGACTAAATAAGAGTAATACTAAAACTACCTGTAAGGACCGGCAGAAAGCTTTACTACCTGCTAACCTTCTACCCTAATTCTCGACCTCCATAACTTTTTTTATCAATGGGTCATGTCCTCAATAAGATGAAGAAACTTTATGTCCTTCTTAATCACCTCTTCCCTATATTTCTTCGGCCTCCCTCTACCTTTTCTTAGACCCCCAATATTCAGTCTCTCACTCCTCCTCAGTGGAGCGTTAGTACATCTTCTCCGCATAAGCCCGAACCATCTCGACCTCCCTCCTCATCTTATCCTTTACTTGAGACACCCCTACCTTTTTTCGATTATTTTCATTCATGATCATATCCCTCCTAGTATGCCCCACGTTCATCTCAACATTTTTATTTCTGCAACTTTTATCTTCTGGACATGAGAGTTCTTGACTGGTCAACACTTTGCCCCATACAACATAGTCAATCTAATCACCACTTTATAGAATTTACTTTTAAGTTTTGTTGGCACATTCTTACCACACATGACACCAGATGCAAGCCTCTATTCCATCCACCCGTTCTTATACGGTGTGTGACATTCTCGTCAAACTCCCCGTTATTTGGGATAACTGACCCTAGATACTTGATCTCCGGGGTCTTTCTCCGGACCTCCAGCCTAACATTAATACCGTCTCGTGTCTCGTTAATTAGAATAATGTCATCTGCAAATAACGTGCAATATAGCACTTCCTAATGGATATGTCGCATCAATGGATATGTCGCATCAATATATCCATCGCCAAGGTGAATAAGAACGGGCTGAGAGCTGACTCCTGGTACAGCCCCATCACAACTGGGAAGTATCCGGAGTCTCCTCCCACTCTTCGAGTCTCCTCCCACTATCCTAACCTACTAGTCTCATCACGACTAGAAAGCAACCACATCATACATATCCTTAATCGCCCTAATATATACTATCGGAACACCACTAGCCTCCAAACATCTCCATAGGACTTCCGTTAGAACTTTGTCATATGCTTTCGAGATCGATGAACACCATACATAATAGTTAGGCCACTTGGGACCAAGAACAAATCAAGGTATTCTTTGTGGAAAACCATTAGTTTTCTTCTCTTCTCTCTGAAAAAGAGGTGCGAAGAAAAATATATAGTTGGATGGTTTCAATCATAATATTGTTGTGCAATGTTGCTTGAAAGGAATTACTGGACATCTTTTGTTTGTATATTTAAGCAATCTATAACTTTACGTAGATGTGTAGAAAAAACAATTAACAAATGTCAAATTCAAGAATCAACTCATGGATCTTGCTGGACTTCTGATCAATTCCTAAATGTTATACTGAAATAGAATGCATTTTGATAAGAAACTTAGTGTTCTTTGCTTGGTCTTGGCATTTACCAACAACAAGAGTTGTGGTGGAATGATAAGTATATTTATATCCTTAACTAGAAATTTTGGGTTCAAGCCCTGAATATGGAATCACTTTTGTTATGGAGCGCTTTACCTCAATATGTGATCTTTCAGTGCTGGATTTGGATTTCATGGTGCCCCAATGAGGATGCCTAACCCCGGATGGAAAACCCAAAAAATAATGAACATTCAACAAAAAGAGTAAATTTAAAGGATTTAAAATGCATATAACTCATGATTAAACCATTGCCGAAAGAGTATTAAATTAAGGACACATTCAGTATTTGCATTAGAGCATTAACTGGTTTTATTTTCCTTTTGTTTGTTTGTCTGTTTTTTGAATGTTTAGAGTAAACAATTTATATTGGCAAACGTAAAAATAAAAAAATATTTTTAGAATAATTAAAATTAAGCATAGATGGAGCCACCAACTGATATTACATATAGCTAAAAACCAGTAAAATGTATTATTTCAAATTCATACAATAGAACAGAATGTGCATAAAACTAATGTAACGACCCGACCGGTCGTTTTGAGTTCTAACATGTCATTCGACGGTTTGAGACCATGAGTAGCTTCACTTCATGTATTATGACTTGCACGCATGGTTGGTTTCGATTTTGGAGAAATTCCGAGTTGATTTGGAAGAATAATTCTCAATTCGGAAGCTTTAAGTTGAAAGAGTTGACCACGGTTTAACTTTTGAGTAAACGGCCTCGGATCGGAGTT